CAGTTGTCTCGTATGAGCTGTTTTGGAATTTTAGAGTATGTTTGGCAGAGATATGCAGCATCGATATCTTTATGACGACACATGGAGTAATACTCTCGAATTTTCTGCTGACCGTCACACGACACGTCGTCAAATATAAATATAGAGCTATTTTTAGCCTTACTTGGACTTATAATTTCCTCGTTATCCTTAAATGGGAAATAGCCAACACCCTTAGCAGCGGAAATCACTTCTTGAAGCAGTTGATACTTTGGTTGATACAACGATTTTGAATAAACGTAAACATTTTTAAACTTAGCACCGTTTGGATGGAAAAGCAGCGCCAGCATTACGTTCGTTTTTCCACATCCGCTTGGTCCGCAGATGATAGCGCGAAACGAATTCGGTAACAATTTACCATGTTTACTATGTTGAGTTTTTGCTGTAAAATCCAAGTTATCAATGGGTAATGACTGCTCTTGTTGAACAACCTTCATCGTGTGGCGTTCGAATAGGGAATGTGTAAAAGTATATATGTAGATATTGCTAACGCATCATCAACAGTTCTCATGTTAACGTACAAGGGTGAAGGTGTTGTAAACTCTCTGATAAATAATCTTCCGATAGAACTCCACGTACCTTCGTATCAGTTCCTGGGACGTAAGTGTGCGACAGATTAGGATATTTTTTTTTTTTCATTCTCACACATGTATATGTATATTTTCAGCGGGGACTAAATTAAAGAAGAGGTTAGCACGAGGAGATCCTGGAAAGAACCCATTGGATCGTGCTGCAAGAGACCACGATATTGCATACGCCTTATACAAAAATTTGAAAGACAGGCACAAAGCTGATTGGATTCTTGAGAACCGAGCCTGGGAACGTGTAAAAGCACCTGACGCTTCACTAGGAGAAAAGACTGCAGCTTGGCTAACAACTACCGCAATGAAAGTTAAGCGAAAATTGGGTATGGGGCAGAAGAAATCATCTTTTCGACGAGGTGTTCTCACGAAAATCACAAAGTCCTTGAAGAAAAATGCTCCCACCACCACGACATTAAAAAAGTCTGCATTGGTTGCTCTTAAAGCGGCAAGATTAGCGGTGAAGAGTGCAGGTGGAAAACATAAAGTTCGACTACCGAGAATAATTCCGATCGAAGGAAAATCTGGGGGATTCCTACCCTTGATCCCCCTTTTCGCCGGATTAAGTGCCTTGGGGGCGCTCGCAGGGGGAGCTGCAGGTGTGGCCAAAACGGTCGTTGATGCAAGAATGCACAAAAGAAATTGGAGGAAGACCATCGCCATAACAAAGCTATGGAGTCTTTGGGCAAAGGATTGTATTTGAGAAAAAATGCTAAAGGTGGTTATGGGTTGTACCTCAAAAAAAAACTCAAAAAACTAAACATCAAGCTACCCAAGAAAGCGCTTTATGATTATGAAATAAAGCAATATGCGAAGCTCTTGAACATACCTCATTTCCGAGGTGTCTTCATGCGTGACACTTTACCACGAGACGGTCCACGTAAAAGAGAATGCGCCGTCGTGAACTTAGATATTTCACAAAACAACGGAACTCATTGGGTAGCTTATAAAAAGATAAACAACAACGTTGAGTATTTCGATTCATTTGGTAACCTGAAGCCTCCACAGGAACTTGTTCGATATCTGAAAAACGCTAAAATTTTCTACAACAACGATCCTTACCAAACTTATAATCAAGTTAATTGCGGACAATTGTGTTTGAAATTTCTAAACAATAACAACAACAACAACAACGATGGATAATAAAACATTATCGGAATTTACATTAGAAGAGTTTGAGAAGAATATTCCGCCGCTGGAATATTTAATAAGCAATGTGAGACCTGCAGAATTATTGAGTATATGGCACAAACTGCCTGCAGAATACACATCCAATTTTGATCTTCAAATACGACTTCCATGCTATGTTCACTACAACAGACCTGATTGGACAACACATTGGGATGGACCGGCTACTGCTCAAGCAAATTGTTATTTCTGTAAATTATCCATTCGAAAATAAACAAAAAAAAAACTTGAATAAATGCTTAGTACACAGCTATATTTTTTCATTCATCATGTCGCAGTTGTTGAGAGTCAATAGCACTACTCATATATTTTCATTTCGTCCTTCAACACCGATAGTGTTGGATCCGAAAAAAGATTATGAATTGGCGCTTAGGTCTTTACTTCATACAATTCCATACCGAATATTGAAAAAGGAGATAAATTTTATTATATCGACCGGATAGGTGGTGGTGGTCAATTAAAAGTCATCGAGTTTCCGACAGGTTGTTATGAAATTACCGACATAGAAACATTTATACGAACGCAAATGAATCTTGAAAATGAAGTTGCTCCTCCGGATGATTATTTTTCTCTAAAACCTAACAATAATACACTGCAATGTGAAATCTTTAGCAAGTATTATAAAATAGTTTTTACAGAACCGAATAATCTTGGACATCTATTGGGGTTCTCGAAAAAAGTTCTTAATCCTGGTCAAAAGCATTCTTCTGATTTACCTGTAAACATAATAAAAGTATCAACCATACACTTTGATGCTAACATTACGTCGGGAGCCTTTGACGGAGACACGCCTGCACACACGATCTACGAATTTGCTGTGACAGCCGATCCTGGATACGCTATAGTCGAAACACCTGTAAATTTACTATATCTACCTGTTATACCGAAACAAGAAATAACCAACATCACAGTGTTGGCTTTAGATCAAGACGGTCGTCCTGTAAACTTTCAAGGTGAAACTAGTACTCTTGTGTTGGAGTTGAGAGCGAAGCGCAGATGGGATTAGTGATTATAAGACATAGTGGTGCTTCCAAGGCAACTTCAGTATTACCCCAAGCACCTAAGCGACGACATCTACTACTAACTACATCAAATATCCTGTTTCTACGCTCACTTGGATATCATGTCAACAACAACAAGAATCATGTACAAAAAGAGAAAAACTGAGGAGGCAGCAGCAGCAGCATCACATACTTCTCCGATGTTGATCTATATCGATCTCCAGCATTCGATGAATCTATTCGCAAGGCTGAGTATAGATCTTATACGCCGTTCATCAAGTCATTTAATTGTAATGATGTTGTGGAATTTAGCATCAATCAAGTAGATTCGTCTTGCAATGAACGCTTCCCTTCTATCTATCAAAGGAAAAGTTGAAATAACTGGAGGAGGAGGAGCAGGAGATGTATCTTTAGCTCCAAACTTTGGTGCCTTCCTATTTGACTCTTGCACTTACAGTGAATCCGCTAGAGAAGTTGAAACAGTACGTGATCCTGGTATTGTAAGTACTGTCCGAGCTTACGTATGTTACAGTGAGGAAGACTCAAATCATATGGCTATAGCTGGATGGAACTATCCTTCAACACCTATAATGGCGTCAACACATAACAAGTCTTTTAGCTTGCTAATGCCGCTTAAACATATTTTCAACATTTTCAATGATTATCCTATGATTACGTGTGGCAGACAAACTCTCAGATTTGTGAGAGCTAGAAACGATAACGATTGTATCATTATCAAGGAAAAAACTGGAACGACGACGACAGCGAAAATAACTATTGAAAGCATGGAACTGAAAATCAAACATATTTACCCGAGTGATGATGTGAAAGAACAACTTTTGAAAGCTATTCAAACTGATAAGCCGATACTTATACCGTTTAGAAAATGGGATCTGAATGAACTGCCTG